AAACTGAAGAGCAAAATGACACTTAATGCCATCTGTACTAGCAGCCTTATTTCTGAAATTCCTCCCTGCTATTTCAAGGCACTAAACATATTCATTTATGACTGCTTGTTTGGGTAAAGCCTTTCTGTATCAAAGTATTAGGAAATTAGAAATTTGTGAAGGAAGATTTCACCTAAAAGGTGGATAAACACGAAAACTGAGGGAAATCCCAGAAAAGATAACTATTTATTAGATTTGGCTCTCTCATGAACCAGCATATGTTTAGACACAGAGCCCTGAAAAGGCTGCTTTACCAGTCGAGTTATGGCCTTTTATGTTGAAGTGTCACGGGATTGCAACAATAACAAATAATATTGGGCATAGGAACTACAAGAATGATGCACAGGACACACAAAAGGGGCTACAAGAATTATACACAACAGCAGAAAAAGCAGGACTAAACCCAACCAAAAATTAGTTAGACATTTTTAACCAGATGGCATTTCCTCTTCCTAGCAGTCTGATGTGCTACAGCCAAGCACAAGCGCTATGACAGCAGATGGAAATCACACAGCTTTGTTTATGTTTGGGACCTACAGTAAAAGGAACCAAGCAAGTTTGAGCAGAGAATAATTACCCAGAGCCAAAAGAAATGGGTGCTGCTTTGAAAATACCAGTTCACAATTGGGCAGGAGTTATAGTCAGTAAAAAAACCTCCCTATATGAAGCACTTTGATTTTCAAAATGTCTATCAGCCTACTACTAAAAATAATTCAATGAGTAACCCAACCTTCTGCTTGCTTACAGGCCCATCCCAATAGCATATGAACACACTAAATGAAGAGCACTCATTCATGCTGCAGGAGCTTTTTTCCCTTTGAAGTTCTCCAAATTCTTTATAAACATTGACTGATGAATCGGGTAATATTTACCCAGTTGCCTGGAAAACAGATACACCTTTTTTAACAGTACAAAGTTACAAGTGAATGATTCACAGAGCCAGGAACAGAAGCTAGGACTCTCAGCTCCTATTAATGCTGCATGTCCCAAACACGAGTCCCAAAACACTTGCTCCTAAGACTACTGATCCACCTCTCTTGAACACTCTGAAGATGTACCAACCTGCAATGCTGTGCTCCATCCCTGATACCATGCATCTTACCAGGCACAATTAATGCAATACTCCTGTTGTCCCTCACACCACAATTCATTCAGCATCAAACATCTCAGCAAGGACTTTCTAATTAAAAACACGGAAGGGCTAGAATAAAACATATTTTTGTCACATCGCTCGTAGGTCTTTTATTCACAACTGAAATAGCTTCGTATTTAATTGTGTACAGAGCCACATATGCTATCTCAGCACACAGGAGCAAGCAGTGACCACTTCAATGCTGGAAGCAATTCTCATGCTGCCCCTTCATCTCTAGGAGGCGGCGTTTATTTGCCTGTGCAAACTGATTGAAATCTCCCACAAACGAGGGGCCTTATCTGCAAAACTGCACATAGCAGCCTCCCTGGGCACATGGTGCTCAGCGTGGCCCTGCTCCAGCACGGCACTTCATGCCGAACTGCGCAGGAAAGGCAGGTACCTGGCATGTCCCAGCCCTACGCTTCCGAAGCCTGGGCACTCTGGGGACCTCTGCTATCCTGCCTCAAAGCAACAAACTAAATAGCAACCTCCTCTGCTCCACACCAACCTTCTCACCAAGAAAGCAAGTATTTCCCCACGTGCTGCTGAAAAACTAACCTGCCCCGTCTCTGCGAGACGACTCAACCTGGAACTGAAAGCCCAGGTCTAACCTGTGCTTCACACCACAGACCCAACAAAAGCCAAGGCCAAGGAGCACAGGTTTCATGCAAGCCAGCAATTCAGGCAGCCTGTCTCCAGCCACAAACTTGCGCATTCCCCTCCACGGCACGAAATACAGAATATATCGCCAAGCCTTAGCAAGCCATAATGATGCCATCGGTGGAGCAGTATGTTCTTGATTTCTCCTGAAAACAAGGGGAAGAAGGAAAATGACAAGAAACAGAAAAAGCACTCCTAATAAAGAAAAGAAAAAGCCTGCCGCCATCACCACAGGGAGGCAGAGACACAAATCAGAACTCTGCATGTATGCCAGCTTTGCCAGTGCTTGGATCTGAAGGCAAAGAAGTCCGCTACAGTGGGATGTGAAGAGCAAAGCCAAAATTTCCTGCTAAATATTGCTGCCAAACAAGCCATTTCTTGTCAGTATTTGTAAAACAAATTGAGCCTGTGCTGTAAATATCCCTGCATCTGTGCACTGTTTGTTTCAGTATGAAGACTTGCAAATAAGCTTCATGGCATACTTGCAGTGGGAGAACAGCCTGGGCAATTCTGGTAAGGACTCAGCTGTTCAGGCCCTACAACCAGCCCTTTGTGACCAGACTCAGACAGCCCTACTGCTGCCTCTCTCGTATTATCACTGCAATGAGGTGGGCAGCAGTTTGCAGCCACCTGTACACAAAAAAACCCCAAACAAACAAAAAACACCAACAAAACAAGAAAAACCATCAACCAATACGCAAAGTACAAAACTCTTTCAAGGATTTATTTTTCTTTTATAAAGTTACCTCAGCACTATGATTGATCTAAGAATGCTTTAAAGGTTTAACAAGCAAATCAACCACAAAATTTCATTCAGGCTCAAGCTATTTGTTTGGGTTTCTTCTGCATCCACAAAGACCTCCTTTGCCACAAGTCAGTCTTTCAGCTCACCTTGCCCCATGAGGCAAGTTCACAAAGTTTGTTATGACATCCCTCTGCAGGCGGGAGCGATAGAAGAGACATCTCTGACAAATACCCAGCTACAGTTGCACAGATTATCTATTTTTTCCAAGTTTTTCCCAAGGGTGTAATCTGAAAGGAAGCACTGCTCAAACCTCAGAGAGAGTTACAGCTATGGGCATGTTACAGCACCCTGTCATTGCCTGTCACTTGACATGTGACAATGTGATTGTGATATTACTGGCATCAAAGCAAATTTGGAGAAAAGCTACAAATATATTTCCAGGTCTCTCAGTCTCTTGCAGCATGAACTTCACCAGGCTGCTTCACTCTCTGGGAATAACTCACCTTCCATTACAAATAGGAAGTTTAATTTAAATATTTCCCTACCATGGTCAGACAAAAGGTGCTACAAGTGCCGAGCTTCCTGTGAAATGTCTTAAAGCACTACCTAGACGAGACTTCAAAAAACATTTCTTGTGAGTGATTTCCATTAAAAAGTTTGGTTTAGTTGACAACATTTGGAAAGGGAGAGGATATTAGATTACAGTGAATTTAAGTTTATTTTACAGCTAAACAAAACAACAAATTTTCCTCACCATCACCCATAAATTCAGGAGCAGAGACTGACCAATCAAACTCAACGCCAACACTTCCCTGATTTCAAAATGAAGTCCTAAGCACTGAATCTTTTCTTCTCCAAGCCAGGATCAAAACAAATCCTCGATATGGTTACTGTTTAATTGTATTATAGCAGCATTTTATAAGCCAGATGAACAGCCTTATCATTCCAGCAGTTGTATATACGTGCCACGTGCACACATACAGTAAGCAGTTAAATCCTCCACCACAGAGGTAGCAAAAAACAAAAGTGAAACAGAAGATACAAAAAAGCAGTGACTGCTCCACAGTCACAAACAGGGATGATTAGAAACTAAAGCCAAGAAGTTGGCTCAGTATCTTATTTGCTAGCCATCACTACTGACAATCAAGAACTGTTTATCAGTGTTTTCATTAGAAAAGGAAACTGGATTTCAGAGGTACATCTGATGTCCACTCAACCTTCTCCTGATCAGGGTCAATACAATTTATTTGCTGGCTTTTCAACAGGTGGGAAGTGGCACAGGCTTCACTGACCTCCGAGAAGCTGCCCTGCTTTCTGCCAGCAGATGACTTGGACCCCTGTCCCCATCAGCTGGGCAGAGATGGAAGTGTCTGAGCATTTGGACAAGCCCAGCAGAATGCAAATGGAAGGCAGAAACAGAGGGCTCCACGGGAAAGATACCTGCCCAGTAGCAGGGGAAGAGCAAGACAGATGAACTAACAACAGAAGGGTGTTAACTTCGATCAAACGAGTTATTCTGGGTCACTGATGGACAGAGGTTGGTTTCAAAAGTATAATTCCAAGGGAGTCACATGATTTTCAGAGCTGACAGATTTATGCACAGTGTACAATTTGTTCATACCGTGGCAATCCACCCAAATACACAGGTAGGCACCAAGCTGTTCTTCTTTAGTGCAGGAAGGGGAATTTGCCACCTGCAGACAAGGCTCTCAAAGCTGCAGACGCAGAGAGGCACTATGATGCACAAGCTAAAACCACGATCTGTTTGTTACTGAGCAGAAAATCACAGTGGAGGCTTTCACATTTGCAAACCAGAAAGTACACACCTGTTCATTCCTCCCTCCACAGGCAACCACTTACAAAAACAACTTTCCTCATCTTCATATTAGAAATTGCCATGAAACTATATAAGCACAGAGTAAGTTCTTTAAAAGAAAGCACATTTTATTGAGAAATGCAAACCAGTGAACACTTCAAAACCACGCAAACAGTCTTACTGCTTGTGCAACATCTGCTGTCTGAGCAGAACTGCACTGCCCTCCAGCTGAGGCTCAACATGTGGGATTCTTCCTCCCTCAGCTTGCGGGAAAGCCAGAGCAGCCAGTTTCCATGGTATGTGCCCCCCATGAAAGGTGATGCCAGCTGGAGTCTCTAGCTTTAGACTGAAAACCACACTGTCAGGGAAGAAATTACAACAGCCATAAGGAAAAAATGATTCCCCACCACTGGTCCAACGGAAGAGAGGATGCTAAGATGCAGGGCTCCCTATAACTATGAAGAAACTGCACAGAATAACGTGGGTTTGGCTACAGGCAAAAAGTTTCAGAGCCATCAAAAAAGCCAAGTCAGCAATACAAGCCAAAAGTGCAGAGAGGAAAAAATAAAACTAAAAATAAAAAAGGAGAAAAGCAGCATGACACATACCCACAGTCTATCCAGCTTATAGTACCTCGTCCTTTCACCTCCTGGGCCACGCTGGACAGTAACCTGAGTGAGCTTTCCGCAGCAGCAGCTGGAAAACAGAAGAAATTATAATAAAAATAGATCAACAGCAGCATTATTACTCCACATATAAAAACACAATGGTGCATTCCTTTGTTCTGAAGCACTGGCAGAGCATTTTGTCTAATTTGAAGAAATCAGTATGAGAGATATCAGTAAAATCTTCTGTAAAATAGCAGGAACGCTGTTTGCAGCTGTAGCTGGGTAGTTCCTTCCCTCCACTCCACTTAAATGACACGCTGAAATTCAGACCTCCAGGCACGCTCCCTGACCTACATTTACGGAACTACACTGTGTCCTCTCCTGCAAACCAGCTTCCATCCCAACACTGCCTTTTTCCTGTGGCCGGTCATCACCCAGTTGGTACAACTGCCTGCAAATTAGAGCAACTTCACGCAGGACTTTGATCAGCTGTAACGGCAAGTCCTTCAGCACCTCTGCCTGCCTCACTTCTCTTCATGACATGTAACTGTTACTCTCATAATAACCCTGGGAGATATCCAAACCAATAGTCGTGAGGAGCTCAAAACTATTAGCAGAAAGCACCCAGAAAAGGTCCTTCCAAGAACTGGCTGTATTATAAATATCCAACTGAGATTTTTATAATGCCATGTCATCTCCATTCCAGAAGAGTCCTGTAAATGGTATTAAAAATAAACACAGAAGAAAAATGGAACAAGAGCTCAGGAGAGAAAAACACAGAGGTTCAAACAAGTATCAGTTTCCCCCAAAATCTAACAGAAACTGTTTCCTGCCTTGATAAACTGAAAATAAAAACCCAGAGCCACTTTGAGATCTATTTAAACTGCTGCTGCTTCGCAACTAATGGAATATAAGAATGGCTACACTGGGTCAAACTGAATGCTTTTTTTTCTCTAACATCTCAGGACACGAAGGCCTACAGAGGTCAGAGGAGACAAGCAGAGTCAGCAGGTAGTGATAGCCCCCTCAAACAATCTCTAAACCTCCATAATTTTTATCTCAATCTCCTGAGCCAGAAATAGCTTCTCTATATTCGACAGCCCTTCCTAGGGCGTGATGCCATCAGACACCAGCCCCACACATTAGCTCTCAAGAAACTCTCCTATCCCAAATGCTGATAACAAGCAACTGCCACCTCTCTCCAACAGGGGAACGCAGACACGTGGGGTAATTCCTAGCACATACTTAGAGCAAAACAGTTTGGCAAATGCTTTTTATAAAATGAGCAATTTAGGATAGGACAGACTTGTCTCAGGAGACTCACTAGTTGAGCAGCCTCAGTAGGACGCCAAGCCAGTGAACTAAACATCTCCTGTAAATGAGGACATCTCCCAAAACCCAGTGAATTTTCTGCATGGCATAGAAATATTCATCTAGTTTTGCTGAGCTGAAAAGCAAAAGCCTTTGTTCCAGCAGATCGGATGCTGGCTAACACTTCATCAGAGCTGAGGATGTGTATCTCAGATTAGAACTGCACCTCCAAATTCCCATCGCTTTTTGCCCTCATCCTCTTTCTAAGTGACAGAGATTTCTAATTGTGCAAGGATCACTGTTCTAGGAAGAAACATTAATCTCACAGTCAGCTCTGCATGCAATGCTTTCGACTGCTAAAACCAACTAATTAAATAACAAAACCAGAAAAAAAGAAATCTCCACAACACGGCTTTTGAACAATGGCCCTAGGGCAACATTTATTTGATCAAGTGTCAGAGCTGAAGTGTTCTGGTTGTGCTTCTAAAAATGAAAGCAACCACCACTTAAAATATTAAGCGTAAAAAGAAAATCTTCCCTTTAAAAAGCTGAATAATGCAGATGTCTTTTTTATCTAAAGTGTTCCTTTCAAAATCAAAAAGCGTTAGAAATTCTTTTACAACTTTCACTTTGAACCTGTTACTACAAAACCATTTGGCCAACTTAGTGGGGAACTTTGAGCACTCTAAAACAAAACACAAGTATTTTAACAAAAATTAAGTAACATAGATAATTTTAACTGTTTCAGAACAAGCATATCTTTATTTCCTAAACTTAATTATCCCAGTTCCTGCAAATTTTTGTCAGCAAAATTCTCCGATACTGGGGTGGGGAGGAGTCAGGGAGGACATTAGGTCATCACATGCTGCTCCAATTTGCCACGCTATAAACCCCAGAGCAACTTTAGCAACATCACTGTGTCTGATTGACATAAAACCTCTGCAACAGGTCAGAAAGGGAGGACCCAACCCTCAAACAAAGCAGTATCTTGTATTTCTTGTCTGCCGGAAGGGAAAGGAAGCAACAAAAAAAAACAATACAGCATGAGAAATATCATCTTAGTGACACATTTTACTTCTTGCTGCCCAATGACTTTCACATCCACAATAGCATTCTGCACCGGCATGTGAAGCTGTTTCTTCACTTTACATGGTGTCACAGAAAACAGCACCAAAACAAACAAGATGAAGGAGAAAAAGTTACAGCAGGAGCAGAACAGAGCAAAAGGAAGAATAGACAGGTAAGAGCAAGAGTGAAGTCAGAAACGAGAGCCTGAATGACAGAGAAGACAGCAAAGAGATTCAAGGGGACAGGTGGCATGATGTGAAATGAGCCATTTCTCCCTCTTACACAAACAGCTCGGTTTTTATTTTTATACTTTGTTAATTAAAGTTGAAAGACAACTATGGGACACTCAAAGCTGTCAGATGCAAAGATGGATTGATTTCAGTACTATAACTATTCATTAAGCCTTTCAGTGTCACCAGGAAATAAAAACTTCCAAACTGCTGCAATCAACACACCAGAAAGCTTTGGCTGATAGCTGTTATGAGCAGCCAGTTTTGGAGACAAAGCTAGAGTACAGTCATTTTTGCTAATGTGACAGAGCACTTCCGAAGCCCAAATTAATCAGACTCTAATCTTGGAAGATCAGGAACCTCTGAGCTAGAACAAAGGATACCAGTGCTAAAGAATCCCTTGTAGTCAGGTAGAAGCACCTTGTTACCTAAGGCAACGCTGAACAGAGAGCAACTAAGGGCAAAGATCTTAGTCCTGTGAGCATGTGTGCAGGTAACCCAACATCATCACAGATGTTCAAACCACACACACCCTGCTGGGCACAAAGAGCTGTGACATGAAAAGAAAAACAAAAGGGGGGGAAGAAAAGAAAAGAAGAAAAAAAAAAAAAAAAGACTTACCAGATTTTGAATACAGCACTAGTACGTTATTCCGTGTCCTGAGAAGCTTCTTAAAATCCTTGTGGTCACTTATTTTTTCTATGAGTGGAGACACCTTCAAGGAGTACACAAATGCCGGCAAGATTGCCTACAGAAACACAAAGTCAGAAACATTAGTTACAGCTTCCAGGCTGAGAAATAAAATTCAAAGACAAACTGCTTTTGAAATTGCCTTGACCTTTTTCCATAATTCTGAGACACACAGCCTTAAATAAACTATCATATCGATTTGATCCGCAAAAGCCAAAAAAAAAAAAATTAGAAAGAAAAGAAGAGTCATGACACACGGCTTATTGAAACAGGACCAGTCCCACTCCCAGCAGCAAGTATCCTTAAGTGGAAAGATGAGATAAACACGACATCAGGAAATACGGTTTTAGTTAAGAAGTCACCCCCTTTAAAAATCTGGTCCTTAGTCAGATAATCAGATAAGAATTCTTATGTAAATTTAATATACTGTAACAAGAGAAGCAGTAAATTACCACTTGGAGAGCACTCTTGTCCCTAAATCTCAGAATAGCTACCAACTCCAACGAGTACTTTGACATGCCACAGCAGACAGTGAGAGCCATAAAGCTAAAATAACATACGTACGCTGACACAGAGCTGATGAAGGAAATGAAGACAGAATTTGCAAGTAATCCAGCCCCCGCATGACAGCGCTAACCACAACCCTCTCCCACCTGCCCTCCCAAAGTGGGGCAGGACTTAGGTTGACCCCTGGCCATACTGTACCTCACACCCACCCACCAGGGCCTTTGCCGCAAGATCAAGTTTGGCTTCCACTGGCCACACGGAAGGCACAGCACCTTAGTTCTGTGTCTACGCAAAGATATTCTTTTTGGGGGACATCTTTTAGTCTATTTAAATCATGACCACTCCAGAGCAGAGTCTCTTTTATCCTACCATAAAGTAAAACTTGTATCAAAATATGACCATAACCTCGGCTGGGGCTTCTACTGCACATTTGTACTGCAATAATCTTCAATAATAATAATAATAATAATAATAATTTTATCCATCAGGCTATGCTGCCTTCCTTCTTCACTGTACTGAATTCATACTAAGGGAATGATTATGGGAAGCTTAGCTGGAGAAATGATCTAGTTTACATTCACCTTACAGTAAAACCTTAACATTTAATTGCTTGGCTAAAAACCTTTAGCTCGTTTGCCTAACACACACAAGAGGCTCAACGTTTTCCTAACTACAGAACTATCATGTCTCACTCCAACTGGGCTGGAAAACGTGTCCAGGGCGGATGTGAAGAAGCAAGAGGCTGTTCCTCTTGCATCCCGTGTATTACAGATTGCAGCGTTCAAAACACGGCGCTGAGCCAACCAAAGTCAGAACACACAGCCCCAGGCTCCTCACGTCATTACAAATCCAGCTATTTGCAAACACCCATCACTGAGGCACAGAAACAAAACCTGCACCTACAAAGATACTCTAAAAGTGCCAGAAGTTTTTACATGCACAAAGGGACGTGGGAGTTTTGGGGAACACAGGACAAAGAAGCTGAGAAGAAACAGGGATCATCCTCAAAATAACCCCAGGGCATGCTCAGGAATTTAAAGTTACTAGAAGATACGCATATAAAATAAAACAGCACGACAGGTCACAGAGGCTTAAAGTGAACAAGTGATCCCACTCCACAGGCAAGATTCCCGCCACCAGGTCCTGCTGACCAGATGGTCCAAGAGAAGGGAAAGAGCACATTTGCAAACCAGCCCCTACCTTCAGCATAAATATCCTTGATGCTTTAATGCAACCGACAGACTCACATTCTTCTAAATCTAGATGTCCAGAGCTCAGTCTTCCTACTTAAGGCTGATGTATGTGAATCATTTACGTATTTTCTGAGATAAATACATGGTGTTGCCAATCAAAGTAGACAAATACAGTTGTGCTAAGCGAGGTGACACAGGCAAGCAAATTCCTGCTCAAACTCATCACAATCAGAGAGTGTGTCAGGAGGGATTAATCTAACATTGACTTATGAACAGATCTCATCTATGCAACCTTTTTAAAAACTTCTCCCTTCCCCTCAATTTTTTTGTAACTATCCAAGTGTCTTAAAATTTTATTCATGCCTTGAGTTCCAGAAGACTAAAACTAAACTTTACTGAAACTAAGTGTGAACACAGAAGGAAAAAGCAAATCTGCAGCTTGCTTCTTTGATTTAGAAAACTGGACTCAACTACAGATATTCTAGTCTATGAACTCTGTGCCAAAAGAAATAATTGGACTTGAAAAGCCACAAAAGTCCCTTTCAACATGAGACCAAATGATATTATGAACTTTGTCTAAAGCATCTGTACAGTTTTACCAACAGCTTGGAAGTACATGTATTTCATGTCTTTTCCAGATGGAAAGGCTGTTTACCCAATTTCAGTGCATTTTCTTTTTTTCCTTATAATGGCAGAGCTATAAACCTCTTGAAAAATTGGATTCTGGAAACAGTGACAGCTTTAACTACTGCCTTGTTGGTGCTGCAACTGACAGAAAACTCGCTACGCTGGTGGAACAGCAGGCGCTTGGAGGGAGAAGCATGTCACATTGCATACATCCACTGCTACTTCGCCCAATTCCTCCCCAGGTATCAAATCAATACATGTTACTCATTTTCTTGCAGTTTTACTACAGCAGCAGCTCTCTCTGATCCTATGGTTTTGACCAAAAGCCACTGGGAAATGCATTGTGCATAGAAGCACACCAGTCAGCCCTGCCAAATAAATCGTCATCTCCCTTTAATTAAGATTAATGTTGCAGCCTTTCCTGGTTATAAAACCAAAAAGGTCCAAGCTGAAGGCATCGACTTGTGCAGAAACACCCTGCCTGCACATCCATGGCAGCCGCAGCAATACTGGGAGGTTATCGGCTGAGCAGAAAAGTTCACCACCTCCCACTATGCATTTGCAGTACATGGTGTTTGCAGACTGATAAGAATTAAGTAGTTCTAAGCTCTCCAGTTTTTTTTTTAATTAATGAACACCCTGCCCAGGAATAAATGAGAGGTCGGTTTATCATTAAACCTTCTGAAGAGCCTCCATCTTCGCTACCAGCTCCATCGAAGGCAAGCGATGCCAAGCAGTCTCTTGTACCCGATGGCTGCCCAGCCATGAGGCTGCTTTGTCCTGCTCAGCAGCCACAGCCTCACCAGGGCTACAGCCACCAGCTCTGGAAACAGCATAAAACTAAGAGGATGGGAAATGAGAATCCTGTGGAAGCAGTTATACACTGCTCTTTTTCACAGAAAACCAGGCTCATATTCCTGCACAGCCCACAAGCAAAGGCAAGCAGCAAAGACAAGGCTCATTTGCATGTACTACGCTATATGACTTTAATTGTGAGATATGACTCAGGTAGTTTTATTCCAGACATTTTGCAGAGAGCTCATCGGCCAGGCACTATCCAATCAAGCACACTGCTTCTTGTTTAAATCCAAGGCACAGGAGGAGATGAGCTCATATTAAAAAAAGAAGAGGTCAGGAAAGGTGACAGTCCCTCCTGGGCAGGAAGCCTCTTTTCATATGCATCAGGAAGTGCTACATTCACACATATGGAACTCTATAAATAAGAAAAGAGATAAACTCTCTTGTCACTCCAGCATCCTAAAGCTTTAAAATCTAAACACAACCACAGCTGAAAAGTTAAGAAACACTCCAAACGTTTTTCTCAAGAAGCTGCCCATCTTGGTATCTGTTAAAAGCAGAAGGTATATTGGGACGAACACTGGTGCTACTCCTGCCCTGAGACAGCGATTCTTACAAGAAATTACAATAAAACTGAGGGAAGGTCTATTTTATTTCTTGCTGTGTTTGCACAGTGGCTAGCATAATGAGTCCTCATCCACAGCTAGCTCGGCGAGCTGGAACCAACGCAATAGTCATCTGGAGTCCTCAGATGCAGGAAAGCTTTGGTGGAGACCTTCAGGAAAAGGCAGACTACACGTGGCAGACTATGAAATGCAAATCTGGTAGCACATCTAGTCTGCAGATTTCCCCCAGCTCAAGTTCTCCATCTGAATTTATTTTCACAGAATTTTTTATGGTGTAGGTTGCACATTGGTCATGTGATTGTAGCGTCTGATCTAAGATGCATGAAGGATTCTCAAATAAAACATAAGTGAACCCAAACCCTCAAGACAGTAAATTCAGAACTGCTGAGAGACACTGCCATTCAAGTACAAGGCACAAAACCACGTGTGCTCTAGCTCTGTGTCTGCTCTTCAAATCAAAGTACGTATTTAAATAGATAATCTTGCAAGCTAGGTAGAAGTCTGATCAGTCAAAAAGGTTTAATTTTCCTTCCTCCCCTGCCCCCCTCCGGCAATTCCTCACAGAGCTGCCAAACATTGCAAGTGTTAAAACAGTAGCAAAACATTCCAAAACCCCAATCCCGCAGAATTGGTACCCCAGAAACATCTCAGGTTTCAGAAACCCAGAGAAAGAGAGTTACAGGCAAATAACTATTTGCTAATTATACTTCCAGGACTGACATTATTGAAAACTGTGGTCACCCCTCAGGCTGTCTTTTCTCAAAATCATCAAGGATCTGAGAAAGCAGAGTTTATTTCTCAAGTTTTTACTCTGAATCTCATTTCAGAATGAAAAAAAAAAAAGGGAGCATCTTTCAAGCAGCCACACGAACGTATTTTCATATTTTACATTTACTATTCAAATTAAATGTGATGAATGCCTAACTGCTGTTCCCACAGAAGCCAGTTCAATTTATGAGTTGCTCCCCACAAAAGCTTTGTGACAGCATGGTCTTTTGCTAAGGATAAGTAGCATGTCTGGAGAATTATGTTTTTATTTTAAATCAAGGGCAATAAAACCACATGGTTTTAAAAGCAAGAAAATACAAATCAAAATTAAATTAGGACAAACTATCAGAGGAGCAGCATTGTACACTGGACAGAAAAACTATTTCTTATTTCTCCTATTTCCCGCTCGAGAGCGTAAAAAAAAAATAATGTATTTCCCTGGACACAACTTACGCATTAAAAATACAAATGGATATGCAGCTGAAGCAGTGCTTAGGTGCCCAAACTCATATGCCAACATACAATTTTTATGCACACGC